AAAAAACCCAGAAGTCCCTACACCTGACCAGACTGGCTTATTCTTCTAAGAGTGCTTATAATGTGGATGTTTGTCAACCTTCAGACTTGCAACTCTCTTGCCTACGACCACCTCACCGAAAGGAGTCTCATTTTTTAGTAAATACTATCCCCTATATGTACAGATCACACATGCTTTTCAATTCAACATGAACATCTCACCAAGGTATTAATTACAGCGAGGTGCCAACCCACCAATTAAGAATGCTTTCAAGAGATGAGAACAGATCATTGTATCTGATGTTTCCATGATATATATTTAAAGAACAGCAGGAGAAAAGCTATAAAACACAGTTACAAACGGAATTGAAATATTAGCCTCTACTTCTGTTAAAGCAATGCAAGTATTAGGGAACAAATCAGATAGTATTTATTGAAATACAGTATTACTGTGTTAGACTGAATGGTCAGTGTCTTCATGTAAAAAATGCAACCTACTTCTGCCCTAACTCCAGCCTCTCAACCATTTAAATAAAGAACTTACTGACTTATTTCTAAACAAGAAGCTCCCTGACACGTAAGTATGCACGTTCCCGTCCTAGAATCATTTACCTTTTGACGCCTTTTCTCCTTCCTTTTGTCTTCCGTGTCCTGGAGCATTTTTTCTTTCCAGAGGTCGAAGAAATAGGAAGGATCTGTGTAGAACTTCAGCCCATCCTTTTTATCATCTCTATAAATCAATGTATTACAAGTTGGGGGGGAAAAGGTTGTTAGACATTTTCAGATGGGGTTAATACGAATTTAATTTCAGCTCATGAGAGGATAACGTCTGCATGGGGCATTTTAACTGTCCTATATATTACGTTTCTCCGATTTCTTTATTTGACAAAAACTGCAAACATGCAGGAAGGGCAAAGTTTTCTAGAATAATAAGGCAAAAAGTACTCTTGCCAATTCAGGTTTAAGTACAGAAAAGTGCCTAAAAATCACAAGATGGCTCATAAACAACAATATCTAATACCTCAATTATTTCAGGAAACATTTTGCTTATTCCAACAGGGGCCACACACACAGATGGATGGATTCTTGGTTTGTGTATATATATTCACCTCTTTTCTGGAGTTTCAATATTATTAGGATAAAAATTAAGAAGTACACAGGGCATCTGGGGGATCAGTTAAGCGTCCGACTTCGGCTCAGGTCATGATCTTGCGGTCTAGGAGTTCGAGCCCCACGTCGGACTCTGTGCTGACAGCTCGGAGCCTGGAGCCGGCTTCGGATTCTGTGTCTCCCTCTCTCTCTGACCCTCCCTCATTCACACTCTGTCTTTCTCTCTCTCTCTCTCTCTCTCTCTCTCTGTCTCTCAAAAATAAGCATTGAAAAAAATTCTTTTAAATTAGAAAGTATGCTATCCCTTTTTTTTACATCAGGTTGGCCCAACATCTGTAAATTCTATTTGGAAAGAAGCAACGTGTTCAAGGTGTGTAAGTGTGACAGAAGTAGAAGTAACCCACAAAGAGAATTCACTCGTGGCATTTCATTTTCGAGTCCTGCTGTAACTACTGTGGTCTGAAAGAATATTCCGGGTGTTTATAGGAGTTATTCACCTATCATAAAGCCAATACAAATCCCAAGGTGTAATATAAATCAACAGTAACACTCAAAATAATCATAAAGTATTTGGCCTGTAGATTACCTTCAAGAGGAAGCAGAACATTTACATTTCAAATTAGTGTTTCAACAAGTCATTTTAGGCACAGATAAAAGCAAAATGAAATGAGGCACAGTGAGAGGAGTGTAAGTTTATGCTGAACAACATGGATGGAACTAGAGTGTATTATACTAAGCAAAATAAGTCAGTGGAAAAAGACAGGTATCTGTGATTTCACTCATACGTGAAATTTAAGATACAAAACACATGAACATAGGGGAAAGCAAGGAAAAAGAAAATACAAACAGAGAGGGAGACAAACCATAAGAGACTCTTAAATACAGAGAACAAACTGAGGGTTGCTGGAGGGAGGTGGGTGGGGGGATGGGCTAAATGGGGGATGGGCATTAAGGAGGGCACTTGGCTGGGATGAGCCCTGGGTGTCATATGTAAGAGATGAATCCCCAGGTTCTGCTCCTGAAACCAAGACTACATTGTATGTTAAGTAACTTGAATTAAAAAAAAAAAAAAAAAAAAAGTTTCTGCCTAAACAGTCAAAGAAAACTAACTGAATGAGTCCAGGGGAACACCCTGCCCGTCCTTGAAGTTCCTGCTCCTGCTGAACTTCTCATCATCTCAAACTAAGGCCCAGGTTCCTACAGGGGCTATTCTGGCCCGTTCAACTGTCTGAAAATCACTAACCATGGCAATTCGCTTCCTTCCCAAGTTTCCTCACGGGTATGAGACTTCCATTATAGAGACTTTATTAAGAACGTTATTGTGAAACATATATGTTTCCCTAAGATACGAGGCCTTCTATATAGACGAAGATACAGAAAAAACTGAGCAGTAACTTGCTGCAAAATTCAAGACATACAAAATCCACACTTTTTTTTTGAAGAGGGGAGCTAATACTTTAATGAAGGCAGAAGCTCGTGTAAGTAAACAAACAGCAATCTAAACACAAGAATATAAGCAGCAATATCCTGTGTTTACAGCAAGTGAATACGTCATTTTGTGGTCACATCGTAATGCTCATATAATACCAATCTTTATTTAGTATTTTATATACCACAAATATGATTTTACTATCAAAAAGTACATCTGAGTCAGCACTGTTCTTTTTTTAAAAAAAAAAATTTTAATGTTTATTTATTTTTGAGAGAAAGAGAAATAGAGTGTGAGCAGGGGAGGGGCAGAGAGAGAGGGAGACACAGAATCCAAAGCAGGCTCCAGGCTCCGAGCTGTCAGCACAGAGCCCAAAGTGGGGGCTGAACCCACAAACTGTGAGATCATGACCTGAGCCAAAGTCAGACACTTAATCCACTGAGCCACCCAGGCGCCCCTTCTATTTTTCTAGAAGTTTATTCATTTATTTGGAGGGGTGGGAGGGGCAGAAGGAGAGAGAATCCCAAGCAGACTCCACACTGTCAGCGCAGAGGCCTACGTGTGGTTCGATCTCGCGACAGTGAGATCATGACCTGAGCCGAAATCGAGAGTCGGACGCTTAAATGACTGAGTCACCCAGGCGCCCCAGCACTGCTCTTCTTAAACACACTATTAAAAAGTCAGAGACATTTTTATTTTCCCTAAAACTGAATGCACACATCCAATATATACAAGTCATTTTTTATATAATTAGAATTTTTCTGTCATCACAAATTATCTAATCATGATCTTGATTTATCAAATATAAGTGGCTCACTGAGTTTTATGGGCTTTTTCCTTTAGAATATTTAGTGAGGTGTCTTAGGAAAGTTTTAACAGGCCCGCCCTCAGGGCTTCCAGAGTGCTAAGTGAAACTGAAATTGCCCCCAGAAAAATGCCTATGAACAAAAGCAAAATCACAAGTTAAAACATTAGGCTTACAATGCTACTAGTCATAGAGACCATCAATTTTTAGACGCGTGTGCTAAACCTTCCAGAAAAGCAGACATATTTCCCAGAAAACTGTGACAGGTTGGCCCTCTCCCATCGCAGTTTCCAGGGGATTTCTAGGACTTCTTTTTTGAGAGAATCTTTGTGTCTGTGCTAAAAGAAGGGGGTACAGTTGGAACTGCTACTTTTAGCAGAGCTTCAATGGAGGGTGGGTCCGAACATCTCCTTTTGGACCCTGAGAAGGGACAGGAATTCAGACCAAAAAACGTCTGAGCACTCTCTGAGAAGTACCAAAGGCCCAACCAAGATGGCGGCACCGGAAGCGGAGAACTCCCTCAGCGGTCAAGAACGCCACCCAGAGGAGCTAATCCTGAGGACAGTGAAGACCACCCCTACCACAGCCTGTGCTGTGAGGGAGTGAGTTCACCAGCAGGGTAAGTGTGGGAGAAGAACAAGCTGTGTGCAATGAGGGACAATGAGAAGGTCTGCAGATAAGGGAGATGGGAGACAAGGTGACAGAATACGGAAAGAAAACACGAATGTGGCAACAGCTAGGAGAGGTGTTTTTAAACAGCATTTTCAGTTTCTGAATATTCATTTTCTTCGCCATTGATTCTCCAGTCTTTTTTGTCAGAAGTCTGGTCCTAATAACGTGTCCTACCATTTGACAGTAGCGGGTTAATTCGTTGACTATATTATTCCCTCTTAGAAACCCCTACTGCCACGGAATACGTTTTTCTGCAGTGCTGAAATGCTGAGACCGGCATTTTGCCACATTGTACATGAACTAGGCAGTTCCTTTAAAATTGACTCTGGATATGAGGAAAAACATCACACACGATACCATACGATGTGTCCGCTTCGACTTCAGATATCTACTCAGATGTCTACAAAAGGAGATAGGTACCACAGGTGTCTACTTCAGACACAAAAGCTAACGCGACAGTTCATGCTTCTCTCGGTGAGTTTACCTACAGTTTCAAATATGAACCCTTTAACAGTTCTGTACCAGTAACTAATTTTGTTGTATATATAATACAATTATTATTTTCACAGCGTAAATAGTTTCACAGCACTGCCCTCCTGTCTCAGCTTATCTAGACTAAAAGCGGCACCAGGAACGCACGAAGGCATACCTGTACGGCGTAAGAATATTCAGAGGAGGTGGCTTATCACTCTGGTTGTAAATGTCAGCAACGGGATTAGGAATGCTGTTCTTTGAAACCACCTGCTGGTCTTGGACTGTGGAACTTTTGAAAGCTTTTTTCATGTTGATATCCTGTAGTGACACTATTTAGAGAAAAGCCCCCCAAGTTGAGTTATACAGAAATATTTTTCACTGTGCAGAAATAAGCATCATTTGAGACATAATCGTAAACATCCCCTAGGATAACAAAATCATGTTTTTATTGTTCGTTTAAAAGCCTGTGCATTAAATAGCATGTGCCTTCCTTCCCTCTTATAAATAATAGTTATCTCTATAAAATGAAGTCGAATCACATCTTGCCCACTTCTGTAGTGATCTAATTATTTCTTTGAACCTAGCATTAGAGCATCATTCTTTATACTAGCACTTTGCAGAAACCACAAGGAATACAGTTGAGCGTAACAGGCATGTAAGTGCAAAGATCTGGGTATCCTAGAAGGAAAAAACATTCAAACAGTTAATACCAGTTGAATTGTAACACATGTACGAAATACGTCTGCAAAAAACACACAAATGTAAAAAGCGCATTAAGTTTTCTTGATGCGAACGTTAAAGAAAGATGGCAAAGCTTTTCTACAGTCCTAGAAATTAAGTAGCAGGACACAAAAACTACACTCAGGGGTGAGAAAATCAGGGCTGACTATACTTATTTCTTGTTGGCACAACGCTCCGTACCTCACGTATTAACTCATCTAACTGTGACGTCAACTTTTTGAATTGGCCAACCTGGTCCGTTAACCACTTGACCGATGAAGGGGAGTGTCATGACGGTGTTAAGTGACCCTTCCAAGGTGACCCAGCAAAAAAAAGGTAGGCCTGAGACAGAACACAGATTTCCTAACTTGGTCAAATGTTTTCTTCTACTATAACATCCATGCCAAGGACAGTAATCCGGTAAATCTTGACTGGAAATGATTTTGAGGATATGAGATGGACGTACTGCAAAATCTTAGGAAATCTAATGCACAGATTAATCTCTTCCAGCCCAAGGTTTATCACTGGTGTTCCGATGGCAAGAGCCCACAAAAGAAAAAAAGAAAAACAAAACTGAAGGCAGATGAATAAATATTAAAAATCAGTTGTGATACCAATTTGAAAAATGAATGACTGGCTTAAGATGATAAAATTTCTCATTTGAGTAGACCGCATAGCTATCCAGGTTTTCCGTTTTCAAACAAGATCAATCGTAAAAATCAGACTAGAGAATGTTCATCATGGATATTGAAATTTCAATGCTCTGCATTTTTGTTAAATTTCTAATTCACTAATTTAACAACGACCTCTGGAAAGCCCTGAACATAAATGATGAAGGATGAATTGCATAAAATGCTACATTTAAAAAAAAATAAATAAAACTTTCATCTTTTACTGACACTACTATTATAGGTCTAGTAGAAAAAGCAGATGCTAAGATCACTTTAATGCATCGAGACACGGTAACTACCACAGGAATTGTTACTCTGAACGTTTTCCTCAAGTAAATACGAAATGACACATCTTACACTTTTTTTCAAGTTTTTTTTTTCTTCCAGTCTAACCTCAGTCTCTCATTGGAAAGCTACAGAAAGTGAAATCTTTAAAGAGGAGTTGTAGAATTTTAATTGTGAAACTGTCACAATTTCACGGTAAATCCTCAAAGTGATGATCGGTTAACTACACAGTGCTTACCAATACTGACTTTATTTGAAAACTCTGACGCTAAAGGCCTTCGGTAAATGCTATTTCTTGAGGTGTGCAATCAGCAGGATCAACCGAGATTATTTACAGGCATCAACCCCAACAAGCGTAGCAGCTAGAAGCCTTCGCTCAGTCATGCTGTGTACGTATCACCCTCCCTCTTAGTCGGACCACATCTTTTGAGTGATTCTGTGAGTTTTGGCTAAGAAAGTATCTTTAGAATAACTACCAATGACCTATATTAGGGCTTCTAATACCGAATTCATTCAAAGAAGCCTTTGAACACAAATACTCTATGTGTAAAATTTTTAAAAAGAGTATGGCATATATAAGGCAGACAAGAATCTTTTAATTACTAAGTAACCCAATGTTGGGTCCCGCCCCCCCCCCCTTTATATTCTTCCAGAAAGGACAAGATGAAGTATCAGTATGCTACCCCAAGGGAAAAACAGTGATGACACCACAATTAATTACTGCTGTCCTGTCAACATCACCTCTAGCTCGTTGCTTCCGTGCCATTACCTACCCTCTTCCACTGTTGAATCCAGCTGGGTAACTTTGACAGCGAGGCGATCAATTCTGTCTTGAAGAGAATTTGCTCTGATGTAGAAGTTGTTAGCCTCATGAAACAGCTCACCAAATATGTCTTCAGCATGTTTGCCTATAGGAGAGAATGAATGGAGAAGGCCATCTGTTAAGAACTGCTGAGGCAGCCTTCACACGTTCTCGCCACTGCTGAGGACTGTCGACACGTGGGATTTTGTGCAAACGATTATAAAATTAAAGTGTCACGGTCAAAGGCCTTTACAGCTTTTGAAAATGTATTGTGGAAATTCATGTATATCTGAAATTGACCCAAAGTTGTAAAGTTTTAAGACCCTATGGAATGTTCACTCATTTGCTACGTGAGTTATCGTGAAACTTGGTTCCCATTAAACTTCGTCGGGAAAAAATGTGCTCACATTTTGCATGCTTTATGTATAAATAGAATCTCAGGAACTTAACCTTCCTTTTACTTCCTGTGAGAATTAAATAAATCATGTTGGTTTCTAAATTTAAGATTCTGCTTCATTCACAATCAGAAACATTAGGTATCTTATGCTGCGCCTAACATTCTCTAGTGGCCTTAAATTGTTCTAATCCATATTTTGAAATCTAAGCACTCTCTAAAAATCTGGCACTCTCAAAAAATCACTATTTTGCATTCTGAGTTAATTTTTTCTGCATGGATCCTTATGAGTGCCAGACACAACTACTCTCACTTTTTAAAAAATGTAATAAAAAACATTTCTGAAAAGACAGGAATAAGTACCTGCTTGAATTTCCAAATCCTAACATCGTTCCTTTATTCATTCAACAAACACTTAATAACCGTCTACCCTGATTGTGCGAGGCAGAGCTGCATCTTCTCTCTGCCAGAGACACCACTTTAAAAATAAATAAATAAATAAGACTTTACTTTTAAGAACAGTTTCCGGTTCACAGGAAAATTTATCAGAGAGCACAGAAAAGTTCTCATATATTCCCTAACCCCGTCATACACAGCCTCCCCACGATCAACATCCCACCCCAGAGTGATGCATTTGTTGTAACTGATGAACCCGCAGTGACGTATCGTGACATCCAAAGTCTAGTTTCCAGGAGGGCCCGTCCACTCTTGATGGTATACATTCCATGGGTTTTGACATATGCATAAAAGACACGTGTATCCGCCATTACGGTTTCAACAAAATGGCTTCCCTGCCCTGAAAATCCTTTATGCTCCCACTTGTTTACCTCCCTCACCCCACCCCCTCTCAACTCCTGGCAACCACTGATTTTTACTGTCTTGTTTTGCCTTTCCTAGAATGTCATATAGTAGGAATCGTCATTAATTACAATTAGTCATACTTGCTTAGTAACAAGCACTTCAGGTTCCATGCTTTTTCATGGCAAGACAGCTAGTTTCTCTTAAGCGCTGAGTAACGTCCCACTGTCTGGACGAAGCACAGTGTGATTATCCATTCACCTATTGAAGGACGCCTGGGTTGCTTCTCGTGTCTGGTGGTGAGGAATAAACAGCTGTGTGCAGGTTTTTGTGCGGACAAAAGTTTTCAACTCATCTGGGTAAACACCAACGAGCAGGACCGCCAGACTGTATGGTAAGAATATGTTTATTTTTATAAGAAACAGGCAGTCGGGGCGCGCCTGGGTGGCTCAGTGGGTTAAGCGTCGGACTTCGGTTCCGGTCATGATCTCACTTCCAAAGTGGCGGTATCACTTTGCGCTCCTACCAGCCGTGTATCTGAGTTCCTGTTGCTCCACACCCTCATCGGCATCTGGTGTTGTCGGTGTTCTGGATTTTAGCCATTTTGAAAGGTGTGAAGTGGTTTTCTCATTTTAATTTGCATTTCCCTGATGACATACGATATTAAATACCTTTTCATATGTGCTGTGACCTCCATCTGTACATCTTCTTCGGTGAGATGTCTGTTCAGGTCTTTTGCCCATTTTTTAATCAGGTTGTTAGTTTTCTTTTTATTGAATTTTAAGAGGTCTTTGTATATTATGGACAACAGCCTTTTATCAGATTATGTCTTCTGCAAACATTCTCTCCCCGTCTGTGGTAGGTCTTATTATTCTCCTATCTTTCACAGAGCGTAAGGTTTTCATTTTAATTCTTCTGGAAAGAAGACTTACTTAAAGCAAGAATAACCGTGATGTTTTCATAGTGCTTTACAATTTACACAGTCTGATATCCACTTTGCAGACTGTCTGCTGTAATTCACAACACTGCAAGATGTGAGAATAAGAACGAAGCCTGTCTGTTCAGTGTTGCAGCCCAGCCCTAGCTAGACCAATGAGTCCTGACAAACGCCTGTTCAAAGAACGCACCGGCTTATGAGGTCAATAGCGAGTTACTGCTTTCATTTTCCAGATGACCAACCTGACCATCAGAAAGGTGATCTGTCCAAATCTCATGGCTAGTAAGTGGCAGAAAAAGATGAAACTAAACTTTGGTCTTCTAGCTTCTAATCTCCTGATTTTATCATATACTTCCTTGAACTTCCCTGCCTAGAAATTAGCAACTTCCACAAATTATTTCAGGCCACAAGACACTCGGTAATTTCCTGTTTACTTAATTAAAGGGACTAAAATATTTGCTGCCTAAATGGTCACTCCCAGACACCAGATAAGCATTTCTTGTGAATCTAAAAGCAGTACAGTTTCATAAATTCCCATAGTGTGACTGTCCTAACAGGAGGAACTTTCTCTTTAAAAATGAGAGCAATAAAGGAATCGGTAAAAACATTCTGTATCTAAAAAGTCATCCCTCTGCCAAAAATGGAAGGGGGATCCCCAAGGCCACTGATGTCAGCTGAGCAATAAATCATTTCTCTTAAAGTCTGTTATCTAGTGTATGATCCTCTACAGTCGCTTAAAATTCTGCCAACGCTTTCCATTGCCACAACATACAAAACGGTTTCAACAAAGGCAAGGGAATGAAATGAAGTCCTCACAAATTACATATTTCTAAACTCTGTAACTAGATGCGATATCCAGAATTAGCGCGTGTTCACTGCCTTCGGAACCCTTTGCTGAGTGCCGGACTTGTGTGCCTAACTGGCTCATGAACATCTCAACGTTGATGTCCTACAGAACCCCAAAATGCTGTACAAGTGCGCACAGGAATTCATTTTCACGTTAACTCAAACCTGCACCCCCGTGTGGAGAGGCATCAATCACCTAAAGGGAAGCCCATGCAGAAACGGGGTCATCCGTGGCTGCTGCCTCCCACTACGGCTCACCCAACACCAGACCTTGTCACTTGCCTCTTCCCGGCGCCCCTGAGCTCCGACTCTCCCCGTTTCCCTCCTGAATTAAACAAGCGACAGTTGTTGGGTTTTTTTTCTTTTCTGCTTTCAGGCTCGCCTCCCACCCTCGAACCTGTTCATCACACCACTGCCAAGTGATCTCTCTGAAAGAAAGATCTGACTGTCCCTCCTCCTCCCCAGCATCTCAAGATAGAATCTAGGCCTCTTGGCAGGCCACACAAGGCCCCGTGCGCCTCACTTGTGCCCTCCCTTTGTGCTCCGGTCCGAAGGGACTACTTGCGGTGCCCACGGCCCTTCCCCACAGGTGGCGCCACCGCTCTGCGCTTTCAAACCCTTCCGCCCTTTGTCCCCCCACCCAGAGCAAAAGCCACAGGTCACGTGATGAACGCCACCTACCCCGCTGGCCTCATCCAGTACGCCACCCCCTCGCATATTCCACTCCCCCAACTACTCTGGCTTCCTGCTGTTTCTCAGACGTGCCAATCATACTTGCCTTTGTGTGCGGGGGTGCATTTCCTGTTCTTTCTCCCTGGACCTTTTGTCCCAGAAACTCACATGGTTTGGTCCCTCGCTTCATCCGGGCCTGTACCCAACTGTGACCTTCGAAAGTGAGAAGTCTCTAGCAACCTTAGCTAAGACTGCAATCACTTCACCACACTAGAGGCACACACACCCCCTTGGCCCTTCCCTGCTGTAGTTTTCTCCTTAGCATTTACCACCATGTTATAACTGTAGCCTCGTACTTTCTTTTTACGTTTGAGAGAGCGCGCGCACAAGTGGGGGAGGGGCAGAGAGCGAGAGAAGGAGAGATTGAGAATCCCACTCCACACAGCAGCACGGAGCCCGATTTGGGACTCGAACTCAACGAAGCGAACCGCGAAACCGCGACCAAGAGCCAGACGCTTAACTGACTGAGCTTCACCGGACACGTGTGCTTATTCCTCGTGTTTCCTGCCTGTCTCCTTCCGCCAGAATGTATGACCCAAGAGGACAAGGGCTCTACTGGGTCCCGCGCACTGCTGTATCAATCTCCAAGGTCTAGAGCAGGTCTGCCTTATATGTGCTCAAAAAGATTTTGGAATAAGTGAATAAAAACGTATTAACTCCAAATCAATCCCTCTGGATGCAGATCGGGGGAACATCATGCCTCCCTCTGTGTTCCCACAATACCCTAGGCATACCTCAGTCACAGGACTCTTCACGTAACTCAAACGTTGTCTTTACAGAAGTTCTTTGCGGGTGTGAGCAAAGCCTTTTATCTCTTCATTGCCTGTGCTGAGTTAGTGTTCAGCAAGTATCTCTTGAACAAAAAAACACAGGATCTCTACCAGTGTTTTCTTGTTAACACGTACACAACCAACAAATGCTCCCTGCTCAAGTAAGTTTGGGGAATGCTGGGCTGAAAAGATTCGACAAACGTGTTTCTATGCCTTGGGGTATCTCAAATCTTTAATATGCTCATATGCAATAGGAATCTGTAAGAGAAGCATCTAGCATACCATGTTTTCAAACGGAGTGGGCCTGGCACCACCTAATAACATCCTTTGGAAGTTCTGGTTTACGACACTTACTCAGGAAAATGCCCGTTCAGGCTGGATGATCTGTAGACAAAGTACCAGGTTTCAAAGGGTATCTACCCAAGCCTATCAGTTGTTTGTTTTGAATACGAGACATGATCAAATAGAGCCAACTAATTTTTGTTTCTCTATCTGGCCATTCATAGTTTAAAAGAAATATTCCAGGAGCGCCCGGGTGGCTCAGTCGGTTGAGCGTCCGACGTCAGCTCAGGTCGTGATCTTGCAGTTCGTGGGTTTGAGCCCCATGTCGGGCTCTGTGCGGACAGCTC